CAGCAGCGGTAGAACACGCTCTTTCAAATCTATACATGTATATACATATATATATATATCATACATTGGACCACAGATGGTTTGAACGGGAAGTGAAGGAGTGCCCATGGCTACAAAAAACTCGTCTTCGCCGTGTCGTCGTCTTCGTCGTCGTCGTCGTCGGATGGACCCCTCCCAGGATCCATTCAGCGCAATTTTCCACTCCAGATCGAAGCCCGACGACCCCAGGGCTCAAGAACGGCCCCCGAAGGCAGGAAGCACCGAACAATCGTTTCGAACATCGAAATCCGTCGTCGTCTTCATCGCCGCCACTGCCGTCGTCGTCTTCGTCGTCGGCAGACGTCGGCAAAGAAGGCGATCAGTCATGTTCCCAGTCAACGTCCCAGACAGCTCTCTGGTAGCGTGATGGTACTTCGGAGCCTCCAGAGACTCTTGGGCCCATGATGAACCATGTTCCCGGAAAGCTTTCTGGGAACATTGTTCTCATAAGATCTCTTAAGAAATCTTAAGATGTATTAAGATATATCTTCAGATCTCAAGGCCTCGTACTACATCTTAAGATATAGTAAGATCTACATTAAGATCTCTCATAATATCTCGTAAGATCTCTTAAGATATCCCTTAAGATCTCTTGAAAGATCTCGTACTATCTCTTAAGATCTCGTAAGATCCCGTGAGATCTCGTAAGATCTCTTAAGGTCTCGTAAGATGTCTGAAGTGGTTGGGGTTGGGACCACTTCTGGTTGCAATCCACTCCGAACGATTAGAGTTGAGACAAGTCGGCTGGGATCCGATTCATTTCCGGTTCCGGTTCGAACCCCCCCCCCTCCTCTCTCTCCTCGGTGCCGGTTCTGGCGCCTGCGCTGGCGGCGGCCAGCAGCACCAACGGCAGCCGCACCGCAGCGACGATGACCAGAGAGAGCCCAGAAGCCGCCACGAGAAAATACAAATTGCAATGTCGAGCCTTTGCTTCCCAAAAGCCACCGGGGCCCTTAAGGCCCAGAGACGCCCAGGAGCCCTCAGGAGCCCTCACACATGCTTCTCAGACACACCGCGTACCCCTCTGACGAGAACCCAGGAGGCACCCATTGGAACTACAACCCAAAGCCAAGACACGGTGACGGAAAGACCCGAAAGCCATACCACCACCACCACAACCAAACCACCATACGACCACCACCACCACCACCACCACAACCACCACAACCTACCACCACGACAACCACCCCCACCACCACAAACCACCGCACACCACCACCACCACCAACCGCCACCACCACCACAACCCACCACTACCCACCACAACCACCACCATAAACCACCACACCACCACCACCACAACTACCACCACCACCACCATCACCACCGTCACCGCAACGCACCACCACCACAACCCAACACCACCACCACTACAAACCACCACACCACCACCACCACAACCACCACCGCCACGACCACCACCACCACCAACAACAACCCACCACCACCACCGCCACCAACACACACCGCCACGCCACCACCACCACCACCGCCACCACAACAACCACTACCACCACAATAACGCACCACCACCACAAAACACCACACAACCACCACCACCACAGCCACCACAACCACCACAACAACCCACCACAACCACCACCACAACAACAACCCACCACAACTACCACACCACAGCAACCCAAGAACACTTCACCACCACCACCACCACCACCACCACCACCACCACCACCTCCACAACCACCACCACCACTATCACCACCACAATCCACCACCACCACCACAAACCACCAAACGACGACACCACCACCACCACCATTAACCACCGCACACCACCACCACCACAACCGCCACGACCACAAACCACCACACCACCACCACCACCGCCACAACCACCACCTCCACACCACCACCACAAAACACCACACCACCACCACCCACCACCCCGCCACCACCACCACCACAACCATAACACACAACCACCACCACCACACCACCACCCCACCACAACCCACCACCACCACCACCTACCACCACCACCACCACCCACCACCACCACCACCACCACCACCACCACCACACACAACCAACCACACCACCACCACCACCACCACCACCAACCACCACCACCACAACACCACCCACCACCACCACAAACCACCACCACCACCCCCACGACAAACCACTTCGCGGCACAATAACTACCACCACCACAACCATCACACCACCGCCACCTGCCACCACCACCACCACCACCACCACCACCACTACCACCACCACCACATCAACCACCACAACCACCACCACCACAACCACCACCACTACCAACAACGACCTCACCACCACCACCACCTCCACCACCACCGCCACCGCCACCACCACCACAACCCACCACCACCACCACCACCACCACCACCACCACCTCAGAGAGGCCCAGAGAGACGCCCAAGAGGCGCCCAGGAGGCTCCACAAATGCCCCCCAGCAGCCCGGCGGAGGGGCTCGAAACCCGCACGAGCGGCGATCAAACACGGGTCTCGCGCGAGATGGCACAGCGACCTCACGCGGCGGCTTCCGCGGGCTGCCGCTGCGGCACGCTGCATTGGCGACGCCGGCGCCAGCCCGAGGAGAGGAAAAGAGGAGGAGTAGAGGAGCGAGGGGGGGGGGGGGTTTGACCCCCCCTTCGTCACGGAAGAGGAGGGGGAGGGGTGGGAGGGGTTTGAACCCCCCCCCCTTTCAATTCAATCCAGGGGCGGGGGGGAATCTGGTTCCAACCCCCCCCCCGCCTCCAAGCGACCACAAAACGCTGTCTTTCCTATGTATAAGCGCCCCCTCCCCCAGGCGACTGGCAGCCAACCACGACCAAGGAGGGCCCCCCCCGCCATCCCTGTTAAGAAAAACAATGTATAGTCCACTTTGGGGCAAAATCTTGGGTCATGATCGGGGGGGTGCGAGCTCTTTGTATTGTTTTTTGGCAAGCACGGCGGGGGAGCCCGCATATTGTCTGCTGCGCGCAGGGCCAGCATCCCCTTCCAAAAAACCGTACAAAATGCACTTCGAGACGAAATTTGGATCATGCGCGGGCACCCCGCGATCACTGTGCAGTAGTTTTTGGCTGGAGCGGCGGGAGTGCTGGCATATGCTGGCATATTGCCTGCTGTGTGCATGCCCACCAGACGCTCTGATGACCACCCCGCCGCGATTGCGCTGTGGTTGTCGATATGCGTAGTGGGGGCCGACACGTTTCCAGATGTGTACTGCCACGTGTGCAGGCGCAGCTGGCACACTCTGCGCGTGCCCCGAACGTGGCGCACCTGGCACGGCTGGAGCATGCTGCACACATGGCGCACGTGGAACACGTGGCGCATCTGGCGTACCAGGCGTGCCCGACACGCTTGGGCCACAGGGGTGCCTGGCGCACCTGGCGCACCTGGCGCACCTGGCACGCCTGGCGCACCGCGCCCCAGCGGTGCGCACCTGGGGTCTGTTTTGGCTCCCGTTCGCTGCCCCTCCCGAAGACTACTGCTGCTGAGCACGCTGCGGCTCGGGTGCTACTTGTGTGTTGGGAGGGCGGGTGGGAGTGAGCGAAACTGACTACCTACCAGGCCACCCCAACCCAACCCGAAGACCCGAATTTCGGGTTGGGGGGGGTACGAGCTCCATTTGTGTTTTCTCAACGTTCCCCGACCCCCCCCAACTGGAAATGGAGGGCAAATCGAAACCTTCGGGTTGGGTTGGGGTGGTTTGGTGGGTGGTGAGAAACGGCTTGCGGGCGGGGAGGGTGTCTTGATCCCTCCCCCGCACCCCCCTCCCTCTGGGTCTGCACCGGGGGGGCGGGCGCGAAGGGTTGGAACGCCCCAAGATGGCCCCAGGATGGCCACGGGAGGCCCAGAGCGACGTCCGAGACGGCACAGCACATGCAATGACTGCTCCAGATGACCTCCAGGATGCCTCCAAGAGGCTCCATGGAACCCCTTGAGACTGCTCCAAGTGCCCACTCCCCCGCCCCCCAACCACCCCCCAAGGATGCCCCCAAGAGGCCCCCAATCATGCTTGCATGTTTCGCCTTTTCGCTTCCGACGGGCTCGTGATGCCTCGAGATGGCTCCAAAGTGGCTAAATTGAGCCCCAGGAGGAGCCCAGGAAGGCCCGAAGAGCGCGCCCAAGAGTGCCTCAAGACCACCCCAGTACTGTTCCAAGTGGCGGCTGCTCGGGCTCCAGAGGGCGAGCCTCATCAAGAACCCGCCCATGCCTCAAAGCCAAAGCCGTCGAACACAGCATGATTGTTCAAAGGCTCAGGCACATCAGGGGCATGCTTGGGAGGTCGTTGGGCCAACTTGGCTCCAGATAGCTCAAGATGACCTTCAAGATGGATGCAGATGGTCCATGATGGCTCAAGATGGTTTCCAAGAGGCCCCGAGAACGCCCCAAGATGGGTCTAAGTGCCCACGAAGTCTCCCAAGCCCACCCCGAAGACGCCCATCTCCTTCCAAACCCAATGGAAGACACATGATGTTCGAGTTCTCACGGTCTAGCTCCTGATGGGCTTCTGGGGCCTCAAGATGGCTCTAAGATGGCCCCAGAGAGCCCCAAGAGTGGCCCCAGATAGCTCCAAGACGACCCACAGAGCGCCCAAGGGCGCTCCATGAGCAGCCCAAGAAGGGCTCATTTTCGACCCCGACAAGGAAGCACTGATCGGCGCCGCCCCTTTCGTTGATTGATAGACTGCAGGGTGGCCCCAAAAGGGCAACCAACGAGCCCAAAAGGCCTTCCAAATGGCCCGAGTAAGCTGCCAAGAGGCTCCCACATTGAAAGGTCCGCGGACGCATTCATGGTTGACTCCTAGGTCTGCTCGTGTTGATCTTGGGCTTCAGTTTGACGGTTCCCCCTTGTTCCACTTCTTGCGCCTACACTTCCCTGACCAAGGCAACTCGTCCGGGCATCCTTTCTGGAGGTCTGGAGGGGTTGGTCGGCATATGCGAAGCACCAAGGCTTGTGAGTTTTAGGATATGTTTCATTCAGAAAAGCGCCCCACGAGGAAGGTCAGTGCCGAGACGCACCTGCTAATTGAAGCGCAGTCCAGAGCTCACAGAAACAGAGGTTATGGAAGAGACCTGACTGGTGCATGGTCTGGCGAAGCCTGTGACGGCGGCTGGGGACCCTGAGGAACTCCGACCTCTGGACATCCAGGCTCCGCGTCTCTGCATGCACCGTAAACGCTGTGCTTAAAAGCTGGCTGCTGCAGATGAGAACGCAGGGGAGCTACGGTCGCGCATGTCTGCAGTCTTTCTCTCGAGATCCATGCGCCGCATGCACGCTGCCACAGGCTTGGCAGCCTCCGAAAAATCGTCTTCTCCCAGCAAGCCTCCCACAACAAAGCCTGTTCGCCTCAGATTCTTGACGTAAAAATTCAAATACGTAATGCCTTGCTCTGCGTGCCCGCGGACAACTTTAAGCTCAACCCGACCAAACGCGACCCATGCCGGAGTCTCTTTGACAACACCCTCCGATTCGTAACGATATCCTCCTGCGTGCTTCTTATCTGCCCAAGCTCCTGTAACATTCAAACTTTTGAAATACATGTCCGTGCATCGTCCACCCAATTGACGCGCATCGGCCTCCACGCGCAGCAATGAGCTTTTGGCGTCTGTCCCGCGAGGAATGTTTAGCAGAACGTGCTTTCCTGGCTTCGCCAGGTCAAATCGCTCACCATGAACGTTTTGTAAGTGAGGATCGCCAGTGGCAGCAGCCTGATTCGCCACCGTTGTAGTCGCTGTCGTGGTCGTTGTGGTGGGAGATGTGGCCATAGCCTCTGATAGCTGAGCTTCGTACAGAGAAAATGGCTCGACTTCCTGATTGACGCTGTCCCACTCGCCTACTACAGAACCCACAGCGCATCTGCCGGTCGAGACGGCATCGATGCTTGACTCTGGCTCGTCAGCGTACGGGTCAAACCCAGAAACCTTGCAACCCACCGCCCAATTTCTGGAACCTGGCGCGGCCTCCACCAGCATCGAAGAGAATTCTGAGTTCCAAAACACGACCTGCGCGCCACTCCAGCCATGCCCGGATCCCGAGTTCCCGCGGTTCCACACTCTCCCTGCGTTGTCCGACACGACGCGGTCGTACAGCTGGCCCACACCCCACCGGTGATGGGGCCCAACATCTGAGTGCGCACGCGACGCCGAGCAGTTATGGAACACGTTTGGGCCCGCCACGCGGCTACCAGTAACATAATCATGTCTGCCGTCCTCTGCCGAGCATCCTGTCACTAAGACCATCTGCCCGTCTACATTGAATGTGTACCTCCTGCCCCCGGCGATCTCAGAGATCATCTGGCTGCTGCTGCACCCGGAGACTGTGATGTGCTTCGCGCGCCTTCCAACATTTACACACGCAAAGCCGTAGTGACGGCACGAGATTCGCCGAACCCACCCCTGCTCCAAACGCGTCAACATAACGGCGTTCCATCCGTGCTGCTCATCCGTCTCGCTTGTGTATGTCGAGTCGAAGCCCAAGTCCTCGATTCCGACGAGTCTCGGCCTCTCTGCGAAGGTATACTTGAAGACGACCCCGCCACCAAAGTCCGCAGATATCGATTGCACAAGGGGGATATCCAACGTCACCTTTCGGGTTGGAAAGAGGGGGGGGGTAGCAAATGAGAGTTTCGCAAATTTCGGGCGCTTCGTGCTGAGCGTGGCCATGTATGGAGTAACATGCCCGGCGGTGGGGCGGAAACTAGCTGCAGGCAGAATTTGTTGTAACACTGTCTTTCCCATCCAACCCCTCTCAACCCCGAGCCTTGAGGCCATCAATAGACGTGATGGTTCGCTCAAACTCCAAGTCGTACTCCCCTGCAGTCCAATTATAACAAATACTGCCGTCGATGGGACAATCGGTGATACTGTCCATGCCGATCGACCTGATCCAATCGTCCGTTCCTAGATGCACCCTGAACAAAGCCAGCGCAAGCGGGATCAGAAGATCGCACCGCGTCGCCACCGCATCGGTGAGTCTGGAGTGGGGAAAATCGGGACCCAGGTCGCGCCGCATCGCTCATGCGTTGGCGATGAGGCGCGATCATCCGACCCCATCAGCCCTGGCTCCATTTGGGCAGCCCAGGTTCCCTGGACGCAGCACCACGACTGTGTCGTTCACCGCGAAGGCTGCCGCCGATGCCACGTGGAACGACCTCGCGCCGACGGGCACGTACGTGTCGCTGATCGCGACGCGTGTTCCTGGTACCTCCTGGCGTGACTCGGTCCCAGCCGCGCTGTCCACCTCAACGACCGAATACTGCCGCTCGCCCGTTGCAACGATCACGGCACCGCCCTTGTCGCCCCTCATGGGACACAGAAGGACATATCAGCACGATGCGCCCCCCCTTGGAAACGCACGTCTGAACCCACCATAAAGTACACATATGATACAGCAAATCGTTACCCAGGAGGTATGGCCAGAAAGCGTTCGCCACCGAGCTATAAGATTTCTGAGTGCGCGCGTCGCGCCACGAGGGTGAGGGGGGCGACGCACACATACAGTGGCTGGACAAACTAGGTTAACACCCATGGCACGGAGAGCATACACGTGATGTTGAATAACCTCTTGTATAAAAAAATGTCCCGCTCCCCTCCCCAAGCCCAAAGTTGAAGTGTCCACATGTTGTACTTCGCGCGTTGCCTCGCGTGCACAACTGCCACCTTTGGGTTGGGCGGCAGGGGGCCATCGATTTCTCGGATACACTTCGTCGTAGCGATGTCTTGGAGCGTTTGTCCACCATCTGCACCATAAGAGCACAAGTGTGTTTGGTGAGTGTGCGGTTTCGCTACCAAACGGGGGCCCATCGCCGACCTATCGGCGAGATCGCCGCCAGGTTGATGTTTCCCTATCGTCCCCCCCTCAGCCGAAGCGACGACCCCTGAGATCCGACATTGTGAAACAATTGCAACTGGCACTGGCTTTGGCCCTGGCTCCGCGCACGTGGCGCCGCGAAGGCGCAGCGGACGGGGCGCATCGCAACGTCGCGAAAACCACGAGCGGATCCCCAGAACCAAATCCCCAGAACCCGCAACATCGCAAATCGCGGAAATCACATCTTCCTGCCTAGACCCCCGACGTCATGATTGTTTCATGACGTCGACCCCCCGAGGTCTCGACCCATTCCCCGGGACCGGTTTTTCGTCCTGAGTCGTTTTTTGACGGTCCCGAGGGCCGGTGAGGGCCCCCAAAGGCCAAAAATAATGAAAAACCTCCCGTCGTGATTTTTTCATAACTCGAGGGGGTCTGGGTGCGGCATTCTGCGAACCGAACCGATCTGTGATGGCCCTGGGGCCCGAAAGCGGGGCGAGAACGCCGGCTGTGAAAAAATTGGCGCTGCCCCCTGACGTTGCCCCTCCATTCTCGGGGTCGGCCAAGAGGAGGGCGTCCAGGAGGGGGGAGGAGGAGGAGGAGGAGGAGGAGGAGGAGGAGGAGGAGGAGGAGGAGGAGGAGGAGGAGGAGGAGGAGGAGACCCTGGGGCCCAAAAAGCTGGGCGAAAAAACGCCGGCTGTGAAAAAATTGGCGCTGCCCCCTGACGTTGCCCTCCTCCATTCTCGGGGTCGGCCAAGCGGAAGGGCGTCCAGGAGGGGGGGGGGGGCGCAATCATTGAAGGGGCCCTGGGACACACAAATAAATACACACAAATAAGAAGATCCCCCATATTTTCCCATATTTTCTGGGTTCTGTCTTCCCCACCACTTCCCATATTTTCCCATATTTTCTGGGGAGTCGACGATTAATTGTGTCTGTGTGTTTCTTTCCCTCCTGAATCATGGCCAGCGGCATGTGCGCGGCCCAGGGGAGGGGGGGCCAGGGGCGCAATGAAATAAGAAGGGGCGCCATGACATCTGGGGAAATATCATGGCCCACGCCATGATACCCACCCCCCTAGTCATTACCCCCTTCTTGGCCGCCCCCGACATTCGGTTGATGCCGACCTCAAGACAACACCGCCAGTTCGAATGAAGAGCGTGCTGTTGACCTCGTACCTCCCTGCGCCCAGGAGCACCGCGCCGCGCAACCCGTCGGAGCCCTCGGGGAGGCCGGAGACTTCGTCGATGGCCTCCTGCAAGATCGGTTCTGACTGGCGGAGAACGATTAATTAAAAAGAATAATTGTCCAGCCCGCGGCCGGTTTTTTCTAGTCGTCATCCCGGGCGCCGCCGCGTGAGCACGACCCCCGGTCATATATTAATCGTCATCCTCCAGTAGGTCGGGGCGAGCTCGACTCGGATCGGCAGCGCCAGGACGCACCACTGCGCCATGCGAGCGCGGGGCCGCATCGCATCGCCCGTACGTCGGAATCGAATCGGGTGAACTTGGCATCGAATCGGATCGATCGAATCGAAGTACAGTCGAGGCGTTGACCTAAGGAACCCTAAATAAGGAACGAGGCCCCTTTTCTCCACAAGTTAAACTTCGATTTCCCATCGAGAACATAAGGAAAACCTGAGGCAAGCTGTGAAACACTTAAGGAACACGGAGCCCCTCCCCAACGAAAAGGGTTCCTTCTTCAGGGCCCCGACTGTAGGCCCTGTGCTGTGGGAGGCTCAGAGGTTGGCACATGTTTGCACCACCACCAATATCGGCGGCTGCCTCCAGCGAGGGAAGGTGATCCCTATCTCTGGGGTGGTGGTACTTCTTCGAAGGAGGAAGACGGAAGGAAATGATAACACGAAACACCATGCAGAACGATTGCCCCAACCAGCTCCGCAGCCTGTCTTGCGAGCGTGACTGGAACTCCGCCGATTGATGTGAACCCCACCGGAAAGAAAACAAAAACCTGCAATCGCCACGGACAACCCCTTCGCCTCCAGGTCTTCTCAACATCTCCGTGATGATGGTGATACTCGGGCTTCGTAAGTGGTCGAAATACGACCATCAACACCAAAATTCAGGATCGTCTTCCCCCAGCGGAGACAAACCCCTGTGTTGGTGTTGGTGCCGACGTCCAGGCCTCCAATCCTGCAGAACCGTGGTGCAGTCGAGCCCAGGGCCGCAAGCAGCGACAACCTTGCGCACCTGGAGGAACAGAAAATGGAGTAAACACCAATTGTTAGAGGTCCGTGCGGGTTTCCTGGATCGGTGCTGGACCCCCCTGGCGGCGCCTCCAGCACCATCCCTGGCACGCTCCGTTCACCAGGGGTGGACCCAGCGCCGATCCAAGAAATCCGCGCGGACCTCCAAACACTTATGTTTGTGCGGATGCTTCTCCTTCGAGCACCGGAGCTGTAGGAATTGCTTCGCGCCCAGACTTGAAGCCGACTCCGGAAAAGTCTGGGATCACATCGCCACTGCCGAAGTCTTGGTACTGCAGCGTTCCGCTTTCGAAGTAGGCGAAAGGAGAGGCAGGCAACTCCAACGGCGCCTCCGCCTCGATTTGCAGAAGTACGGTATTCTCTAAGATGTATCGCCTGATTGGGCACCCGCTGGAACAAGAGCTGGAACAGCCTATGTCTTCACTGCCGCCAAGCCGCAAGAAACCCACACCACCCAGAGACACCTCCCCAGACGCATAGAGCGACCTGATGTAGCTCGTGAGGTTTACTGTAGCCACAGCGCCATCCGCGCTGTTCTCATCGAAAATGCCCTCGCCCACTAAAGACTCGTTTTGTTTACAGCCAGCGTTTGCATGAAAATCACCAGACAATTTAGCGAATGCCTTTCGGACGCCAATACCGCACACATTGACCTTCATAGTTCCAACATTGATTTTGGAATTCAGGGTCAACGTCAGAGTAGCATTTCGCACGGCATCTGCCATCATTGACCAAGCCGGCAATGTGAACGCAAGCACTGGCTCTTTGAAGGTACGAGTGCAAGTGCTCCAACTCCCACCTGAGCCGACCTGCAGGGTACCCGAATCGCAGCTGCTAGGCACTGTCACACCAACCGTGTCCGTTGCGACATCGTAAAGACCAGCCAACTCCGCAGAACAAGACGTAAGACTCCAAGCGAGTGAGCCTGCACTAGGAAGGGTGGCAATGGCAAAAAGTAGCCCTAAGACGAGCATTACGTGACACTCGGGGCCACATGTCTCCAAGGAGATACGCCTGAAGCCTAGATAGCTTGAGGGAGGTCGAAAACGGGGATTAATGTTGCATGCGCGCTCATGTTCACACCTTTATCCAGGTCTGCGAAAATGATGCTACACACGTCCGGGTTTCCAGTTCGACATTGCATGCGTGGTGATGCCCTCCTCAGACGAGGTTCCCGCTAAAGATGTGATCAATAGGAGCCCAAGCGTGACGCAGGCTACGTGATCTGGATGACCGTCTCGAGTCAGAAACAGACCCTTAGGACCCCATAAGGAATGGCTCCCGCTCGAGACGCCCCATCAGCTCACTCACAGACCAAACTGCCGCTCGAAATGTCCGTGAGACTCCTTCCTCAGGGGCCCAACAGCCACGGCACATCAAATCTCTGGACTGCGCCTGGAATGAGGTTGTGACCCATGCGTAAGGAGGTGGGTGGGAGGGGGGGCTCACGCTCGAGGCTTCCTCGCAATTCACTCGTCGCCGAGGCTCCTGCTCGACACTCACTCAGCATTCGAGCCTCAGGAGCCCAAGAGCGACGACACATACAAGTTCTGGATGACTCCCTCGGGTGTGAGGCCTGAGGTGGAGAACGCATCGGGAGGGGCTCCCGCTCGAGAGTTCCTCGCAGCCCACTCACAGCCGAAACTCCCGCTCGGGGCTTCCTCACTTTTCAGGCCTCAGCAAAAAACAGTGGCGACAGTTACATGACCTGGATGAACCCCTCGGATTCGAAACATGATAGGGTGGACCCCAAAGGCAAAGGCTCCCAGTCGAGATGTTCTCAAGATGAGTGTATGAGAATGAATATACGAAGGGTGCTGAATATGATGATGGTGATGCTGATGTAGTGTGTGTGTGTGTGTGTGTGAGCGGGCGTGGTTATGATGACTGTCGCAAGGAATAGAAGAGGGGGGTGAGGAGATTCCTGTAAGGGGGTGCCTGGAGAAAGCAGTAAGCCATTTTGGATGTCAACGCGGGGTGAGATCGCAATGGAACGGAGAGCCCCCCAACCGGGAAATCGGTTTCGGTTTCGTGTTCGTGTGGTGCGTGCGGGTGGGCGAGACCAAGCTGCGCGGGCGCGTGCAAGCGGGTGTCTGGCTCCGAGGGGGGTGTCCCGCTTGTCGTCGCTCGGCTTCACCTCGCTTTCCGAGCTTGGCCTCGCTGTTTCTCGTGGTTTCCCGTCGGTGTACCGTCGGTGTCCCGTGGTGTCCCGTCGATATCCCTTCGGTTTCCCGGCGATATCCCTTCGGTGTCCCTTGGTGTCCCGTCGGTGCCCCGTCGGTATCCCTTCGGTGTCCCATGGTGTCCCGTCGGTAATGAAATCAATAGTGGTGTCCCGTGGTGTCGAGAGTGAGATCGAGAGTGAGATCGATAGCGAAGTCGATCGATAGATCGATAGATAGGGAGAGACATCGATACTGAGATCGATAGTGGTGTCCCGTGGTGTCGAGAGTGAGATCGAGAGTGAGATCGAACGCTCTGCCAAAGGAAAGAGCGCACGGACTAATAAATGCCTCCTGTTTCTGCTGGTTGTCCCGACCCTTTGGCCTCATGATGCTCTGCTGGTGTCTCGGTGCCTCGATGCTTTCAGCATGGTGTCTCGATGGTATCCCAGTGGTGTCCTGGGGGGTTCCTGATAGTGTCAGGGTGGAATCTGGACGCAGTCCCTTGCAATCCAACTGGTTGGAACGAGATCGATAGTGAGATAGATAGAGATATTGATACACAGCCGGGACAAAAGTGTCTTCAATGTGCCATGATGATGATATCCCCTATCCCTCTAAATATTCTTGACGTGACATGATGACTGCGTCATTGGGCGGAGTAGTTTCCGATCCGCTCAATGCTTATAACTCTGTTACCGCAAAGCCGGATTGAAAACTACCCCGCTCCAAACCCTATGAGTTATCGAGAGGGATGCGCCCCCACGCAGACTAGTTGGAGTACTTCTACTCCGAACTACTCTGCGCTCATGCGCTATCGGCGAAGGCATATTGAAATAAACTTTCGTCACGGTGATGTAGTGAGACCGATAATGAGATATATCGCAATATCGATAATGATATCACAATCGAGATCACTCATCGCCACCATCATCGTCATCATGTGTTGTTGCCAACTGGAGTGCGCATCATCAGCATCGTAATCATCACAACCATCGCAATTGTCATCAGTTGGCTCTTCCTCCCCCCACACACAAGCTCCTTATCACCCGAAGGGTGGCCGAACAGGTACTATGGTCTAGCACTGACTGGCGAGAGAAGCGAGAAGAGCGGCGCTGGGCAACGCTCAGGACGAAGAACCTGCACTGTGGAGCTCTTAGGTGCTCTGCGGGGTGCTGGCTAAGTAATGCCCTGGAAACTTGGGCACCCGAGCTATCCGGGGTAACTCGGGTCCGAGGTAACTCGGGTTTGGATTCCCGAAAAACGAACCCGAATTAGCCCTGACCCGAATTATCCCTGATGATTTGGGGCTCTGGACGCCCGAGTTATCCGGGGTAACTCGGGCCCGGGGCAACTCGGGCTTGGATTCCCGAAAAACGAACCCGAGTTAGCCCTGACCCGAGCTACCCCTGATGATTCGGGGCTCTGAGAAACGGCGGCTGTGCCCCAACGCGTGCCGGCGCGAGCGCCTCGCTTGGCTCCGCCGGAAGCAGCGCCGGCGAGTCGGCGGCGCCTGCTGGCGGCGGCGGCGGCGGCGACCACGGTGGCGGCGGCGGCGGCGACTGCACTGGCGCTGGCACTGTAGGAGCGGTGTCCGCAGCGTCACTTTGAAGGGGCCCTGGGACACACAAATAAATACACACAAATAAAAATATCCCTCATATTTTCCCAAATAAAAAAGATTAATTGTGTCTGTGTGTTTCTTTTCCTCCTGACACTTGCTCGACGTCTTGCAAACTTCCCGCCACGGATGGGGCCAGCCTCAGCTCGCTCGAGCAGCAAGCACAAGGTCGTTCTGTTCGCCGAGGTTGCCTTCTTGGGGGGGTCTGGATCGTCTGGTCTTGGCACGTCCTGGGGGGGGGCTTCTTTCTGATGGAGGTCGCCCCAGACGGGGGGGGGGTCTAAAATGGCTCGTCTGGGAGGTTTGTGACCCCCCCCCCTTATCAGAAAAGTTGGGGTACCCGTCGAAGGGAGCTCTGTGCCACGCCGCTGCTGGGGAGGGATGCTCCCCCTGGCAGTCTGAAGCACCCCGGCTGCGCGGGCGGCACACTTTCTTGAAGGGGCCCTGGGACACACAAATAAATACACACAAACAAAAAAAATCCCCATAGTTTCCCATATCTTCTGGGCTTCTGTCTTCCCCTCCACTTCCCATATTTCCCCATATTTTCTGGGAGTTGACGATGAATTGTGTCTGCGTGTTTTTTCCCTCCTGAGTGAGGAGGGCACTCGGGACTGCACTCGGGACTGGAGGGCGTGTTGCAGCATCGTTGCCGGGTCCTGAGTTTGAATCTGCTCCTCCTCCTCCTCCGCCGCCGCCTCCTCCAACTCCTCCTCCTCCTCCTCCTCCTCCACCTCCTCCTCCGCCTCCTCCTCCTCCTCCTCCTTATCTCTGGCCAGTCGAGACTTTCGAACGCGGGCACGGCACGGCAGGCGCGCGGCGCGGGCACGGTGTGGCCGCGGCGCGGGCGCGGCACGGCACGCGAACGGCGCGGGCACGGCACGGCGCGGTCGGCGCAGCTGTCTGAAGGGGAACTGGGACACACAAATAAATACACACAAATAAACATATCCCCCATCTTTTCCCATATTTTTGGGGTTTCTGTCTTCCCCCCCACTTCCCAGATTTTCCCATATTTTTGGGAGAATCGGGAGAATCGAAGATTAATTGTGTCTGTGTGTTTCTTTTCCTCCTGACTGTCGCAGTCCAGAACGCGGGCACGGGACGGGCACGAGACGCTGGCGGCAACGTACTCAGATCGCAGAGAGCGGGTCTTGTAACACACACGGGACCCCTGGCAAAACTCGCTGTTCAGGGAAACAGGTTGGGTACCTGGCTCCCCTTCATCCCGCTCGGTCACAGGAAACGGGTGGGGGGTAGTAAAGGGAGGGAGGACTCACCGACTTCTGGCGACTTCTGGCGACTCCTGATTTTCCCAACGATTTCTGTCGCCGGAGGCACCAATGCATCCAGGAAAGCACCCGGCGGCGGGGCCGAAAGCAACTTCGTGCCCCCACCCCCTCTCTCTCCCATCTCCTATCCCAGACATCCGACGACACTTTATTTCCGTGCGCGGCCACCAAGGGTTCCCGACCCCTTCTTTCTCCTGCTGGAGGGTAGTTTTTCCTCCCGGTCCCTTTGTGATGGCCCAGAATGGCCCTGGGGGCCCATCAGCGGCCTCGAAGTGAAACGCCCGGATTGAAAAAACACATCGTCGGAGATCTGGGATCACCCCCCTGACTCCAGATCCGCCCGTCTTTAGGAGATTTCGCCCACCAGGCGGAAATGACCCTCCCTACTTTTCAAGCTTCTCTGATGCCGATTTCCGCCCAACTTTGCCGTCGCTGTTTCTGCCCTAGTTTCGTGGATGTCCACCGTTCTTTGTGACAGGAGCTGTGGGCATATTCAACACATGTGTGGAGCCTTCGCCAAATCTTTCTGCCTGACCTCTCTGAGGCAGAAACTTCCGCCCTATTTTGCCACATCCAACGGGATGCACTCCCGACGCAATCTTAAGCCGGAGAATCTGAAGGGGCCTTGGGACACGCAAAGAAATACACACATGTAACAGGATTCTCCCCACATTTTCTGATATGCTCTGGGAGCCGACGATTCATTGTGTCTGTGTGTGTGTGTTTCCCCGTCCTGAGAACCAGCCAGTTTGGACGCCCGAAATGGGTACCGAAAAAATGGGTACTATGCCCAACAGCAAATGTTGTCCCAAACCAACAGCGGCCGCTGTTGGGCGGGCGGCCTCCTGTCTCGAATGGACACAGGCCGCGGCGGCGCGGACAGCGAATCCTGTTCAGAATGAACAGGAACTGCTGTTGGGCATCGTACCCATTCTTTCAATACCCATTTCGGGCGTCCAGAGCCAGAGCACGGCGGATCTGGAGCCGGGGCCGTTCGTCCGACCCGACCCGCCCTGCCAGTCCTCGCTCCCTCGGCCCTCACGCCGCGCTCCCGACCTCGCCCTCCGCGCGGGGAGGCGCCCGTGGAGCAACGGCGCGGCGCCCCGCGCTTCCGGCGACGGGCGCAGCCCAGTGGAGGAGTCTGGACTCCTCCGCCGTCCCTGCCGGCCAGCCTGACTGACGTGGGTCAATCGCCACGGCGTAAGCGGTCGGGAGACTCTCCATGGGATCCCCATAGGGGATCCTATGGGATCCCCCCCCCCCCTGGGATCCTATCCCCCCATAGGATCCCCCCCCCCATGAAGAGTCTCCCGAAGCGGTCCCAGGGGGATGCGGGCCCTCAAGGTTTCGGCCGTTTTCCTGCTCCCGGGGCCCTCCCAAGGCCCCGGGGCCGTCAGAAAACAACTGAGGATGAAGAGCGTTGCCCCGGGGAGAGCTCCCAGGGTCCAGGACCTGTTTCCCTCGGGGCTCGTGTCCTTCATGCCGGATGCACTCATCCGTGGATGTGGCAGGTGGGCGCTTGGGGGAAGCAGACCCTCGCAAGTATACGGCCAATGCCACCTGACTTGGCCACGGCGCGCGTTCAACGAGACCCGTCGCCAGTCCTCACGCCTCAGCGTAAGCTGGTATTTCTGGCACAACTCTACGTCGGAGAGTCAATCAAAGCACGGCGGATCCAGGACACCCTTAAGCAAGACGCCCTTTAGTGGGAGGTGCCAGGGGCACTCCGCGTGCGCACGGCACCGCATTCAGAGCGGATCCCAGCAGGGCAGCAGATCGCCATTCATAAGAACGAGCGAATGTATCTGGCGAGACTCACGTCGATTCGCGAAAACGACCGGTGCCTGCACTGGAAGGCTCGAATGCCCATTTCGAGTGAACCTGTGCAGATTTCTTCAGCCGACTTGCCTGGGTGGGCGTTCTCTCAATGCCCTGAGAGGGGCGGCTGAGGTCGCGGCGCCTCGTCCATGCTCCTCCATCTCCTCCTCCTCCTCCTACTCCTCCTCCTCCTCCTCCTCCACGCTCCTCCTCCTCCTCCTCCTCCTCCTCCTCCTCCTCCTCCTCCTCTCCTCCTCCTCCTCCTCCTCCTCCTCCTCCTCCTCCTTCTGCTCCTCCTCCTCCTCCTCCTCCTCCTCCTCCTCCCCTTCCTCCTCGCTCCTCGTCCTCCTCCTCCTCCTCCTCCTCCCCTCGTCCTCCTCCTCCTCCTCCTCCTCCTCGTCCTCTTCCTCCTCCTCCTCTTCCTCCTCCTCCTCCTCCTCCTCCACCTCCTCCTCCTCCTCGCTCTTCCTCCTCTTCGCTCCTCCTCACCCTCACCTCCTCCTCCTCCTCCTCCTCCTCCTCATCATCATCATCCTTCTCCTCCTCCTCCTCCTCCTCCTCCACCGCCTTCTCCGTTCCCTTCCTCCTCTTTTTTGCCAGCGCCGTGGTGCTCAGGAACCCCATGACGGCTCTGGCGTGTTCGGCAATCTCTGGCTTTTCGGCGCGAAGCTCCGCAGACTGGTGCCCAAGACGCCCTTGGAGTCCAGCCGCATCTCGTGCCTCCGTCCCTCCTGGTCCTCCCTCCCGCACCCCGCTCCTCCCGTGCGCGGACTGGCCTGCACACCACCGCCAAGCCTGGCCAGGAGGCCATCCTGGGCCCTGGCTAGCGTTGTGTTGCTCCTTCTTCTCGCTCGCCGCTGGTAAGATGCATGCAAGCTGTCCTTTTCCTCCTCCTGCTCCTCCTCCTCCGCCTCCTCCTCCTCCTCCTCGCTCCTCCTCCTCCTCCTCCTCCTCCTCCTCCTCCTCCTCCTCCTCCTCCTCGTCCTCGTCCTCGTCCTCGTCTTCCTCCTCTCCTCCTCCTCCTCCTCCTCCTCCTCTTCCTCCTCCTCCTCTTTCTCCTCCTCCTCCTCCTCCTCCACCTCCTCCTCCTCCTCCTCCTCCTCCTCCTCCTCTCCTCTCCTCCTCTCCTCCTCCCCCTCCTCCTCCTCCTCCTCCTCCTCCCCGCCTCCTCCTCCTCCTCCTCCTCTCCTCCTCCTCCTCCTTCCTCCTCTTCCGCCCCTCCTCCTCCGCTCCCTCCTCCTCCTCCTCCTCGTCCTCGTCCTCGTCCTCCTTCTCCTCCTCCTCCTCCTCCTCCTCCTCCTCCTCCTCCTCCCTCCATCTCTCTCCTCTTCCGCGCACGAAAGGCCGATAGGAGCGACGGCAGGAAACGGGGTCGACTGCGCCGACATCCGCGCGCAAGTCTCGCGTGTCAAGCCGCGGGCAAGCGCTCTCTTATCCACGCGGTGTGCCACACAAGACCCGCTTGCCCAGACCGCCCCGTTGAGGCTAGCTTGGACCATTTGGGGGGCCTGTTGAGGCACGCTGGGACTACCTGGGGGGGCTGCCTATGCGCAGCCCGAAACCTCACTAATCCAAGGGCGGCTCGCGCCGCGGCGCCTCCGGGCGCCGGCCGCCCCGAGGCGCCGGCGCCCCGCGGCGCCCCCGCGCCCGCAGGCTCGGAAGGGGCCCCGTCTGGCGCGGCGGGCTCCTGCGGGCGGCGCGGGCGGCGGGCGACGCAGACTGCGGCGGCGGCGCGGGCGGCAGGCGGGGCGGGGCGGGGCGGGGCGGGGCGGCGGCGGCGGCGGCGGCGGCGGCGGCGGCGGCGGCGGCGGCGGCGGCGGCGGCGGCGTCGTCGTCGTCGTCGTCGTCGTCGTCGTCGTCGTCGTCGTCGTCGTCGTCGTCGTCGTCGTCGTCGTCGGTCTTCGCCCTGACTCCAAATCAGCCGCGCTTTCACACCAAGCGTTTTAGCCCTGTTTCGGGACCTGGGACCGTCGCAGATCGGTGCGGCTCGAAGTGGGCCCCGGGGGGGAAGGGGCGAGGATGGGGTGGGCGGGGGGGGAGACCCTCAGATCTGGGCGTTGCATTTTTTCACACTTGGCGTTTCGCCCAGTTTCGGGCTCCAGAGCCATCTCAGACCGATACGGCTAACAAAAATGCGGCGGAAAGATTGGGCCTACATCGGCGCTCCGAATATATCTATATCTATATACATATATATATACATATATCTATACATACATACATTTATATATATATATATATATATATATATATATGTATATTACCGTGTTGCGAAGAACGGCTGCGCGCGGATGCAACGCAGCCGCATAACTGCAATGTCGCTGCAATAAGGAAGTCGCACACGAGCCTCGCGGACCTGGGCAGACATCGCGCTCGGGCGCGAACGCAGTCAAATCTGGCGCGCCTCCCAGACCACAGGGGGCAGAAACGAAAACAGCTGAAAACATGTTTCTGCTCGCAGAAAACCCTGGGCGTGAGGCCAACTTTCGGGTCACGGGACTCGAAGAATTAGGTGTTCCTTGCACGAGCCCCACGCAGACGGGCCACTCCTAGATTGGCCGCTGAAACTGCCGGGTCGTCTTGGGAGCAAGCCCGGCTGGCACGTCTGAGGAAGTCCTGTGCGGTTTGCTCACTTCCGGGTTCATGCACCGTTTGTCGTGTCGGGCGAAAGGGGGAGATAGCAAAAGGGGGGTTTGAGAATCAGCTCACGTAGCTGATTTTCCCGGCGCCTCCCGGCGCCGGGAGGCGCCCATGTCTCGAGGAATGGGCCCCTCGGTGAGACCGAAACCAGCGGCATGCGGCAGATTTCGTACCCCCCCCTTTCCCAATCCCCCCCTTTCGTCCGGCCCGAGTTTGGGAGTCAAGAATAGAACTTGGGAATCGGGCCCCGATCCTGGCCCAGAGGGCGGGGGGCTGGGCTCACACCTCGCCATCGCTCGGACGTCCCTTCCCTGTGCTTTTTTCGGTTTCGCGCGTGGTTTTTTCGCCAAATGATCAAGGATGCTCCTCGACGGTCCTCGCCGAAGGAAGACTGCACACGTCCGAGCGATGCCAAGACACTGTACCGGGCCCCTGCGGCCACACGGGGCGGGGCGCCGATCCTGCCCCCGCCTCTGCCGCCCCTCCGCCCTCGCCCTCCGAACGGCCTCCGCCGGCCATCTTCTAGGGGGCCCTACTGCGCCGATCCGGCAGTGTCCTCGCTGCCGCCACAGTGCATCCTGCCGCCACCCAGGCCGGCGTGCGGCAGGGGAACAAAAAGTGACATAAACATAAAAACTCGGAGGTCCGCGCGGATTCCTCGGATCGGCGCTGGACCCCCCTCCCTGGCGCGCGCGCCAGGGGCGGCGCCGGAGGCGCCGCCGGGGGGGCCCCAGCGCCGATCCGAGGAATCCGCGCGGACCTCCGAGTTTTTATGTTTATGCCACTTTTGTTCCCCTATCTTCGGCCGCACGCCGGCATGGATGGCGGCAGGATGCACTGTGGCGGCAGCGAGGAAACTGCCGGATCGGCGCAGTAGGGCCCTGGGCGTTTCTCGCGATGCTGCGCCTCTTTTGCAACGTCGGATGTCAGGGTCGCGCGCCCGCCTACGGCCGTGCCGACAAGGGCTGCGGACTGGCCATGCGCATCTGAGCGAAGCCCTGACTCCAGGTACGCAGTGCTTTGGTTGATTTGCCGAGTTTCATCTGCGTTGGACAAAATAACGTGGGAATCTCCGTCTCAGAATGATAAGGCGGGCACGTCCGCCCTAACTTTACGGCAAACTCCACAACTTTGCGGGGCATTCCACAGCTTTGTGGAACATTCCGCACCTCGGTGGAAGTGTCCACAACCCTTTCCACATAGTAGGGCAGGAGCAGCGACGGAAAAGTAGAGCGGAAATCGAAATCAAAGGAGGTTCAAGAGTATGGCAAACAGTTCCGCCGTCATTGCGAAATCGACCAAAGCTGGGCGGATCCGAAGGCAAGGAATCTTGAGCATTCCCAGACTGCGCCGGCGCGAAGCGTAACGTGACCCGCCCCCCCCCCCTTCCCCCCCAATTACGCCCCGTGTCGCCAGGGATAAGAAAACGGTCTCCTGAGGGGTCTGCTCTGAAAAGGTACCAGAAGAGCCAGCCGGGAGGGGAAAGGGAGCAACTTCGGCAGTGGAGGGGACAGGGGACGAAACCTGTGCACGTTGGTGCCCCTTCCCCACTCCAATGGCTGGAACCACCAGTGATGCCTCACCTCGGCCCCCCAGCCAGCTCCAACGCGGCGGACCTTGAGAGAAAAAGCTGCAGGAAGAATGGCCCTGACTCCGACTCCGCAATGCTTTGGGCGATTTCGCAATTAGGGCGGGAATTCCCGCCCTACTTTTCAGGCTCCTCTGATGTTGATTTCCGCCCCACTTTGACATCGCTGTTTCCGCCCTATTTATACTGACACAACCGACTCCCTGGCACGCGGGGAGGGCTACAGTCATCGCGCTAAACGGAACGCTGAAAAAAGGAACGAAGGGACTTCTTTGGCCACGGCGAACCTCGGCCATGAATCGTAGGTACCCCGACCTCAGTTGATGGAGCGGCGCGAAAACAAAACTCCCAAGCCGAGCTTCGGCATCTTGACTCTGTGGCGCCAGCAGAAAAATTGCACGCGAGCGCCTGGAGCGTCTGCTTGCGTGGGTTTCTGGCTCCGTACAGATGGGGTTGACTCGAGAGGACACGCGAGAGGACACGAGGCCCTTCCGAGGGTCCGAGAGCCACCCTGCAATAGGAATGAAGGAGACATGGGTCGCGAAGCACATGACGCAAGGGTGCCATTGATTTGGCAGGGTTGACGTATTAATCAACCTCGAATGTAGCCCCTGCAGGGGACTTTTTCGCAGTGCTCTTCTGAGGCCCTTGGGGCTCGCACCGGCGTCGTGGCCTACACGTCAGCAGCACTGTCGGGGGCGGGCTTGGAGCGGCTGAGGCGTCAGAGTGGCAGGCCCTGCAGGACCACCTGGGGAGGAGGGATACTGCGAGTGGAACATGCGCACTCTGCAACGTACCACACATTAATGGGATAAAAAATCCGATGGCCCCCTTGGGGGCCAACAGGCTGCGTGGCCCAGGCTGCCCTGCTCCCAGCACCAATTCTAACTCCCAAATTCTAGCTTTATATGTTCTCCCTTCTAGCTCTACTGTAATGATGGAAGTCTGCGCGAGGGAGGAGCGAAAACCATCCGGAACCCAGTCCAAACATACGAACACCGGAATTCCACACAAAGTGCAACAGTTTCGCACTCCCGTGGCCACACCCCCTTTTAAAGTGTGACGCCTTCGCGCTCCCGAAGCCACGAGGGGGTGTCTAAGAGGGGGGTGCCCAAGAGGGGGGCGGTGCAAATCATGACAGGCGGCATGTGCGCGGCCCAGCGGGGGGGCCAGGGACGTAATGAAATGAGAAGGGGCGCCATGAAATGTGGGGAAATATCCTGGCCCCCGCCACGAGATCCACCCCCCCTAGCCATCACCCGCAAGGAGGAAAGACTGGTCTACTCTGTAAGAACGGTTTTTTGAAGGCAGATCTGCCTTCAAAAAATTGTCTACTCTGTAAGAACGGTTTTTTGAAGGCAGATCTGCCTTCAAAAAACCGTTCTTACAGAGTAGACGTAATGAAATGAGAAGGGGCGCCATGAAATCTGGGGAAATATCCTGGCCCCCGCCACGATATCCACCCCCCCCAGCCATCTCCCCCCTCTCTTCCGCTCCCGACCTTCGCGCTCCCGAAGCCACGGTCCCCCCTCCACGCCAGAGTTAGGTCCGGCCTGTCCCCCTACAGGGGGGGGTCTTTGGACGAAAAATAAAAAATACTCAAACGATGCCCCAAAATCCCCCCCCCCCCAAAAAAAAACAATAGTCCCCAGTCTATGTTCTGACTATTTTTTGAATAAATATATATATATATATATATATATATATATATACACACATTCCCCCCGTAGAGGGACAAGGCCCGACTCCACGCCACGAGCCGGAATCCCCGCGCCACGCCACACGAAGCGCGCCAGGGTCGCGCTCCCGAGGCCTCGGCCCCGCTTGCATCGCCCAACGAGCTTTTGCGCCCCCGCGAAACTGCAGGCCCCAGGACACTACGCCTCGCCATCACTCGGACGTCCATTCCCTGTGTTTTTTTTTCGGTTTCGCGCGTGGCTTTTGCGCCAGAGGATCAAGGATGCTCCTCGACACTACAGGGGGGGCGTTGACCTAAAGAACCCTAAATAAGGAACGAGGCCCCTGTTTTCCATAAGTTAAACTTCGATTTCCTGTCGGAGACATAAGGAACACCTGAGGCGAGCTGTGAGACACTGAAGGAACGCGGAGCCCCTCCCCAACGAAAAGGGTTCCTTCTTCAGGGCCCAGGACACTACGCCTCGCCATCGCTCGGACGTCCATTCCCCGTGTTTTTTTTGTTTCGGTCTCGCGCGTGGCTTTTGCGCCAGAGGATCAAGGATGCTCCTCGATGGTCCTCGCCGAGGAGAAAGGCACGCGTCCGAGCGATGCCAGGGCCAGGTTCGCGCTCCGGAGGCCACAACCCCTCCTGGGAGATCGCGCCAGACCTGCGCGCCCGAAGTCACAACCCCGACTAAGTTAATCAGTTACACCAGACCAGATTCGCACACCCGTCGTTGCCTCACAATTCGGATCGAGGCTCGAAGCCACGAAGCCAAGCAAATAGCCAGGGGTGCGCGCCCCCGAAGCCTAGAACCCGAGTGCCGTGCAATGGAAGCGCACCATCCGTCACTCATTCTTGAAGGCGCGCGCAACCAGCCAGCCAGCAAGCAGCCCCAATCCATTGTCATGACCAGTTGAAGCAACAAGCCAATCAGCAGTTGCCAGCCAGCCAACCAACAAGAGAGCCGACCAACCCACCAGCCAAGCGTGACCATGCGGGCAATTGGAAGGGGGGCCGGCGGCAGAGGGCAAGGCTCCTCAGATAATGCCGGCACCCTTCGCCACGATACGCACACCCATCTTGCAGTCGGCGGCGACGTGGCGGAGACGGCGAAAACGAAGATATGGCGACGGCATCTGACCCAGACCCCCGACGTCATGATTTTTTCATGACGTCGACCCCCCGAGGTCTCGACCCATTCCCCGGGACCGGTTTTTCGTCCTGAGTCGTTTTTTGACGGTCCCGAGGGCCGGTAAGGGCCCCCAACGCCCAAAAATAGAGAAAAACCTCCCGTCGTGATTTTTTCATAACTCGAGGGGGTCTGGGGAGCGTATTCACTGCCCAAGGCCTGGCCCGTCCTGGCCCAGGAGCAGCAGATGTGCCTCACGGGCCCAGCCAGGAGGGCGCCTGCACCGCTCCTGGGCCCTGGATAGGCCAGGCCTGGGGCAATGGATACGCATAGATTTAAGTCGGGCCTGTCCCCCATACGGGGGGATTTTCGACGAAAAATACAAGATACCCCAAAAATACCAAACAAATATTCCAAACATAGTCCAAAATAGTCCGGGGACTATTGTTTTAGTATTTTTTACCTTTCTTGATTTTTGTTTGGGGTATTCTGCATTTTGCGTCGACAATCCCCCTGTTGGGGGACACGCCCGACTTAAGCATAGATCCCGCTGCTCTGAAAGGGAGGCTCGAGCAGGGACGAGGCGAGGTACCAAACACCTTGGCAGGAATGACGGGCCAGGCATCCCGCCGAGAACTCTGGGCGCTCGGGGGCGGCTACAGCGAGGCCTTCGCCCATGGCCTTGCGAGCGCCGGCGCCGCAGTCGCCAGGGCGGCAGCGTCCAGCACTGCCGCTTTTATGACGGGGCCGTCCGCGGTGTGCGCCCCGAGTGCCGCCGCGGTCCTCGACGCCAGCACCTGTCGAGGTGAAGCCACACCCAGACATGCGATGTCCAGGTTTTGGTCAACGCGCGGCCCCCGGAAGTCCCGACCCTTTCCCCGGGGCCGGGTTTTTCGTCCCGATCGAGTCGTTTTTGCTCACGGTCCCGAGGCTTGGCGAGAGCCCCCGGAGGCTGGCGATGGCCAGAAACCTTGTCGTGTTTTTTGTCACGACGCGCGCCTGTCTGGGCGCCCTGGTCGCTGGCGAGACTGTGGCTCGCCGCGGCATCGCCATGGCGTGGGTGGACGCCGCGTGGCTGGCAGCCAGGCAGGCTGCGCAAGCCCGGCGCCCACTGAGAGCGCCAGTTCCGGCTGGTGGCGGCGGCGCCGCAGCCCAGCGCGCCAGCGGCGAGCAGCGCCGCGGCAGCTCGGCTGCGGGAGCCCAGCTCGCGGCGTCACACAGCGAGCAGGCCGCAGAGCCACCGAGCTCCCGCCCCGGTGCCTTCGCCCGGGGCGACGCTGAGCGCGCGCGCAGCGGCAGGCCAGTCACCGCAGTCCTGCTGCATCGGGGGGGCGGGAGCGCCCGCCGCAAGTGCAACATGGGCGCATTCGCGGCTGGCCTCGCTGGGTTCGCCTGCAGCTCCAAGGCCAGCCTCGCCACTCCGTCCGCCAGACCTGGGGCCGGGGAGCATGCCGTAGGCGCTTGCACTGCCAGCTGAACGGCGCCTGCCGCTGTGGGACCGTGCATGGGTGGCGTGTGCGCCCCAGCCATGGAGTCAAAGCTCGCCCCTCTCATCACCGCGGGCCCCCGCGCGGCCTCCGCCCGCAAAATCCCGCGCGCGTCACCGGCAGCCTGCAGAGCTGAGGAAGCCTGGCGCTCCGGGCCCAGCAGCATGCCGCTGCCCGCCGTGGCCTCGGCAGCCTGTGAGCTCCTCCAGCCGCCAGGCGGCCAGACGGCGGCGCTGGCGGTGCCAGCGGCCAACAGCTCCCGCCCACCCATCGCCGCCGCGGCCTGCGGGCGCTCTGCGCCCCCCACGCTCGCGACGCCCTGCGCCACCGCCGCCGCTGGGCCCTCCGTGTGCTCGGCGCTCGCTGCACGGGCCGCGGTCGCCTTCTCCAGAGGGGGGGCCCCGGCCGATGTCGCAGGCGGCCGTCCCGCACTCCCGCTGCCGGGGCCGCCGGGGGCCCCCGTCGCGCAGCAGGCCGCGCCCACCTCGGGCGCGCCCGAGGCCCTGGCCAGCTCCACGGCAGCTCCCTGGCTCGCGGCTCCTGCCGCGGGGCCTGCCAGGCCCGAGGCGCACAAGCCCGCGCCCGCCCCGGGGCGCTGCGGCAGCCCCCAGGCTCCCCTGTCGGCCAACGGGGCGCCCAGGGACCTGCCAGAAGCGCTGGTGGCGAGGTCGGGCCCCCCCGCGCTGGTGCCCGGCGTCGTCGTGCTCGAAGCGGAGCCGCAGCTGTGCGCCAGCGGCGCGGGCGCGGCGCCCTCCGCGCGCGTCCCCTCGGCGCTGCCGCGGCGGCCAGGGGGTCCGGCGCGCGCAGGGTCCGCGGGGGGGTCCGGCGGCGCACGGCCGCTGCTGGAGCGCGGCATGGAGAGCCCTCCGCCGCCGTTGCCGGCAGTGCGCAGCGGAGGCGGTGGCGGTGGGGGCTCCCGCAGGCGGCTGTAAGGGCGCCGCTGCGCAGGGGGGCCCAGGTCGCACAGCTGCCGGTTGATCTCGGCCAGGGAGTGCCGGCGCCGGCTGAGCGCCTCGTCCACGGCCAGCAGCACGGTGTCGAGCGAGCGCAAAGCCTCGCTCTGCACAGAGAGGTCAGGGCGCGACTCGGCCAGCGGCATTGACCTGCGCCCTCTTCCCTCGCAAGCTAAGGGGGGGACATGGCCGCGGCCTGGGCGTCGCGGCGGCTTGAGCCAGAGGTCATGGCCCCATCTGTTTCACAACGACTAGACGACGGGGCTCACCCAGACGAGAGGAAGAGAGAGGGAGAGAGAGGTCACAGAAGGTCACTCACGCTCGCCTAGTCCCCCTTATAGTCGTCATCACCATGCTCCCCATCATATTCAAGCGTTTGATTATGAGCAGCAGGATAATCATAATCATCACCTTCAGGATACCGCAAGAGTCCCCTAAGATGCCCCAAGAGGCCCTCAAGGAGCCTCCCAAAGGCCCCTCGACACCCCCTAGATGCACCCAGGAGGCCCCGAAGAGGCCCCCAAGAGGCCCCCAGGCGGTCCCCGAAAGGCCCAAGAGGTTCCCAAAAGGCCCCGAGAGGCCCCATGAGGCTCCCAAGCGCTTCCAAGAGGCCCGAAGAAGCCCCCCGAGAGGCCCCAGGAAGCTTCAAAAATGCCTCCCAGGCGCCCACGAAAGGCCTCTCAAGAGACTCCAAGAGGCCTCCAAAAGAAGCATCTTGACGACGACCCCGAGAGACCCCAAGAGCCTCGCAAGATGCCATCAAGAGGCTCCCTCCTCCGCCTCCTCCTTCGCCTCCTTCTCCTCCTCCTCCTCCTCTTCCTCCTCCTCTTCCTCCTCCTCCTCCTGCTTCTCCTCTTCCTCCTCCTCCTCCTCTTTCTCCTCCTCCTCCTCGTCCTCGTCCTCCTCCTCCTCCTCCTCCTCCTCCTCTTCTCCTCCTCCTCCTCCTCCTCCTCCTCCTGCTCCTCCTCCTGCTCCTCCTGCTCCTCCTCGTCCTCCCCCTCCTCCTCCTCCGCCTCCTCCTCCTCCTCCTCCTCCTCTTATCCTTCTCATCCTCTCCTCGTCCTCCCCTTCCCTTCCCCATCCTCCTCCTCCTTCTCCTCCGCGGCGGCGCCGACTTGGCCCCGAGCCTGCGGCGAAGTCCCAACGGTCATGCAATATAGACGGGAGGAATGAGCGAAACGATTGAATACGGCAGGTTCGTGTCGTGTCGACCCCGGCGTTGGTTTTTGACACCGCAGGGACCGTTCAACCTTGAACGATCGGCCGCTGCCGCAACGTCCGATCGTTCAACATCGATCGATTCTGGGTCGCCGGCGGCGTTCAACCTTGAACGTCCGCGCTGGGGTCGCCGCTGGTCGACACGACGCAGACCTACCGTACTCATAATCATCGCCATCAGCCGCCATCATATTGTCGTACACCTCATAGACATCAACGTATCTGATCATTCTAATGAGCCAGCGCCCACATTCATGGTAGCTCGACTACCGTCAGCGTCGTAACAACCACAACCAACATTCCATATCTGGAGCCCGTCTTGGAGCCTTCTTGGCACGTATCGGAGCCCTTTTCGGGCGCCAGCTGGCCGCCTCGAGTCCCTCTTGAGATCCCGAGCGCCGCTGGAGTCGTTCACACAAGTGCATACGCGTCACGGTTAGTGCTGTCTGGGGCACTTCTTGGGACATCTTGGAACCTCTCTTGAGGCATCCCGTGCACTTCTGGGCGCCCTGGTGGTCTGTTGGGCCCTTTCCATATATCGTCTTGGGCCGTCTTCGGGGCCTCCAGAGGCCCTCCACCGTGGCCGGTCTAGGGATGCTCAGGAGGGTGCCGGGGCGCCAAGGTGATGGTGTTCATGCGCGCGTTGAAGTATGCAGAGGTAATGGTATGGAGCTGTTTGTTGGCCAAGTTGTAGAATGTGTCCCACCATTTGTTGGTATGTCGAGTATCGTGCTGCATGTGGTGTGTGTGTTTGCTACGTACATGGTCTCGCTATAAGTGGGGATCTCAGCCTGATGATGGGCAGACGGTGGGATGAGCGCAGTACTCTGAGGTCTCTGCACATGAAATAGAGCTGTTGTCTGGAAGCGGTGGCGTACGTTAGTGCTGTGCTAACCAGTAAGCTGCACCCCAGTCTGGATGGGTGTTGATGTGTCGTAAAGTGCATGAAGGTGTCCGCCATGATGTAGCCGTTTCGCGCCGTCGTCTCTTGTATACCCATGCTGTGTACCGTCTGTAGGAGGGCCGGTGCTCGTAGGTGCTGACCTCTTGTCATGTGGTAGAGCGTCTGCTTGTCGTGGTGCAGGTCGTCGCTTGTTGCATCAACATTTGCCCGTTGTGCGTTGTAGGTGGCCATCTTGAAGTGCACCGTGGTCGTGTCGTTCCCTGCGGTCGATGTTGTTTGTGGGCGTATGACAGTGTTGGACTGCTCGTCGGCTGTGGTGGTGGGTGGCGTGGGTTGGTTTGCTACGTGGGTCTGGTAGTGGAAGCCGTCTCGCTGTATCATAGGGTAGGCGCAGTGGTCAGCTGTGGGGTCTTTTTGGTGGATAGTCTATATAAGTGTTTGTGGTCTGTTAGTAGGGCTTGCAGTTGGTCGTTTGGTTGTGGGAATCTAGAACCAGTTGTGTTTGCCGAGTCGGTGTTGGTGTTAGCTGCTGCGTGTTTGTTTTTGCCCATGTGTCTGCTAGCTCGTTCCACGGGTGGTTTTCGTGTCCGTGTGTGTGTGTATGGTGACTCCTCCTCCTCCTCCTCCTCCTCCTCCTCCTCCTCCTCCTCCTCCTCCTCCTGCTCATCCATCCGTTTCCCTTTCCCTTTTGATCTGTACTCCTCCCTCCCCCTCCTCTGTTTCCTCCCTCCGCTCTTCCTTCCTCCTCCCTTCTCCTTCATCCCTTCCTACCTCCTCTCTCCTGCTTCCTGGTGCACACAATAAATGTCATAATCCACACTTGACATGGAGGGGCGCTCACTCTCCAGGAACCCCAGTGACTTGCGCACGACCGCGTCGAAGTAGACCTGGGATGATGAACCCCGCGGACGCCCACGAACATCGCGAACGAAAACAACAAGTTCATGCAATACTGCGAGGCGGCTCGTGGAAACTGATGTACTAGTCCAGCGTACAGGAACGGGGCGAACACAAACAAACAACCCAAACACTAAAGCAATGCCGATGGGTCTACGGTTTCCCTCCTCACTTCTCCTTGTAGTCTTCACTTTCCTCCAAGCCGCTTGACGACACCGCGCAATCGTGGCGCAGCAGCCAGCCGGGCCGCTCGGCACAGCCTCTCATACCGCGGGTGTTACGCTTGTCGCGTTGATACCTTCCCCACGGCCGAGGGCATGGAGAAGAACGAAGAACGCCCGACGCTCCGCGGGAGGCGCCCATGCTTGTCCTGCTCCTCCTCATCTTCCTCATCCTCCTCCTCCACCTTTGCCTCCTCCTCCTCCTTTTCCTCCTCCTCCTCCTTGCTCCTCCTACTCCTCGTCGTCCTCCTCCTCCTCCTCCTCCTCCTCCTCCTCCTCCCCCTCCTCCTCCTCCTCCTCCTCCTCCTCCTCCTCCTCCTCCTCCTCCTCCTCATTTTCCCGCCTTCCCTCCTTCCCTCCCTCCGTCCCTTCCTCCCTCCCTCTCTCTCTCCCTCCATCTCTCCCCCCGTCCCTCCCTATTCCCGCTTTCCCCTTCTTCGCCGCGGGGATCCTCGGGCTCGTGGCGCTGGCCGCCGCCGTTGCCCAGCCCGCGGGGCCGCGTGCTGACGTAGCGCTCCAAGACCGGGAGGGGGAGGGAGCGGAGTAGCGATTGCGACGCAAATGGGTCCACGGAGGAAGGCGCAATAGCAATAGCACGTGCAATACTTGGCGCCTTGATGCAGCAATATGCGCGGTGGATGCAATACTTGCGCGCGGATGGGAGTGGTTGTGTAGCTTCTTCTCACCCAGTCGTTGTCGCCCGTGCTATGCTTTCGCGCCCGCCGCAAAAGTTGGCTACTATTGCACAGCGAATGGACGATTGCACCTCTCCCCGCCGACCCCTCTGCGCCAGAGCCACTCCTCCAGCTTGGACGGAGAAAAGGAGGAACCTTAAGGTCCGCGCGTTGCATGTTCTTATACTCTCCCGTCTTCGGGCACCGCGGTCATCGCAAGACGAGGTGAGGAGGAGGAGGAGGAGGAGGAGGAGGACGAGGAGGAGGAGGAGGAGAAGGGGGAGGAGGAGGAGGAGGAGGAGGAGGAGGATGGCAAACAGAGGTAAGTCATGAGGAACAGGAGGGTAAACAGAGAATGAACAGATGAGACTCCTCCTGTTCCTCCTCCTCCTCCTCGCCCGTCTTCGGGCACCGCGGTCATCGCAAACCGACCCATCTCGGAAAATGCCGCAGCGATGCTGCAAGTTGTTTTCGCAACGTCGGTCCTCGGGGAGGGAGGGAGCCCTCGTTGGTGTGCGTTCTTCCGTTTCGAGCCTCCTGGGGGCTACGCATCGGATGGGATGGATCCGCCTCGCATCCAGGGTCAGGATGGACCCTGGGAAGGGTCGCGGGACCCATTTTGAGCGGATGTGGGCCAGGCAGGACAGCGGGAGGAGGGAGGGGGGGAAGAAGGAAGGGGGAGGAGGAGGAGGAGAAAACAGGAGGGAGGAGGATCAGGAGGAGGAGGAGGAGGAGGAGGAGTATGACCGAATGACTGAATCAACATATGCCAACACGACGCGTATGATACACACTGTGACATGACTGCATGAACCAGAAACGGCCTCGAAACCTCTTCTTCTCGGTGGTGCTCAACACCTTGGGCCATGCTGGCGTTATTCGCCATGCTGCAGACGCCCTCGAACTTTTCACGAAGTCCTCAGCGTCCTGTGAGTTGTTCTGCTTATCGCGCAAAATCGGCCAATTCATTTTCGGCTCGACCTTGATCGTCGAGTTCAGCCGGGACCGAGAGGTCGGAGTCGATCCCTGGGACTTCAAAGTCTGGATGGTCCTGTCGACTCCGTCCATGGTGGACTACTGCTGCGTGCTCATCGCTGCGACCAGCGCGTTTGCCATCTTTCCCATCGCCGATTATTCGGACGTCGGTGCTGGCCCTGAGACGGCTCGGCCAGGCCTCCATGCAAGCGCTGACCTCCCAGCGCCGGGCCTCCGCCCATCGCTGCATTCAGGGCTCGACTCGCTCGCTCGGACTCCCCCTCTCTGAATCTTGATCGTTGAAGTCCTGCGCTGCGGGCGTCGGCAGAGTATGAAGGGAAACTGGGACACACAAATAAATACACACAAATAAAAATATCCCCAAGCTTTTCCTATATTTTCTGGGTTTCTGTCTTCCCCCCCACTTCCCATAGTTTCCCAAATTTTCTGGGGAATCGAGGATTAATTGTGTCTGTGTGTTTCTTTCCCTCCTGATAGGTGAAGCCCGTTCCAGGCGGATCGGCTGGGCCCCAAAAGATCGGCGGCCTCGGTGGGTTGGGAGCCTGCCAGGGGCTCTCTCCATGCTGGGCTGCCTGGCCCGGGCTCCCACGGTCAATTCCGAGCCCCTCTGGCAACCCCAGGCCCACCCCTCTTTATGGGCGCAGCCGCAGGCGAGAGCGCAAGCGGCGAGTCGTAAGTCCGGGGCGCGGGCCTACTAATTAAAACAGGAGCAAGCTAGAGCCGCGCAACCTAAACAAAGCGCACTCTTCCGCGCATCCTCGGGATCTGCCGCGTTGGGGTCCCTGTCGCAACAGGCCTCGTAGTTCCTGAAGGCTCTGGCCAGAATCCCCGTACAGTCATCGGCCTGACCTAAGGAACGATAAATAAGGAACGAAGCCCCTTTCTTCCAAGGAAAAACGCGTAGGGAACGATGAACCAATAATACATGACGCATAGGGAACGATAAAAAAAAACGCATGCAAGCCTAAGGAACGACCGAGCCCCTTTTGAAAAGCAAGCGTTCCTGATTCAAGCCGCTCACCGTAGGATCGTCCAACGGCTGTCGCCCCGCTCTGTCCACCGCTGGACGCACCGCTGCAGGGGCCGCAGCCCCCTGCTGCGGGTCGACAGCTCGCGCCCGGGCCGGCGGACGCCGGACCCCGCGCTG